TGTGTGTGTGTGTGTGTGTGTGTGTGTGCTGCAGTCTCAGTGATATCATGTTTCATACAGAGGCCACTTTGTGCCAAAGTTACGTTCACCCTGTTCTAAAACATTTAACTATATATGGAAATATCTTTGCTTTAACTCAGAAAGGCACAGAGGCACCTGCATGACACACACAGCCATCACACACACAAACACACACAGATAGGAACACGCAAAAAAAAGACAGCACATAAATGTTTATACTGTAGTTCTGTACTTCCAAAGATCCAAAATTGTACAAGAGATATGTGACTGGAACAAATCATAGTGATAGCAAACACAAAAAAGTGACAGTGTCTGTGTTCAGTGCATATGTCCCCTTGGTTACCTCCACCAAGGACATTAGGATTCTTTGCTGTTTGTTAGCAGGAATACGCAAAAACTGCAGAAGTGATTTTATTTTAACTTGTTTGAAGGGTGCAGTTACAAGCTGAGGAAGAACCCTGGATGCAAAATTTGGTGTTGCTGATTGCTTTAAAGGGGATTACCATACATTGGTAAGTGCCCATTTGTAGTTTTCTCCATCCATAGGTTAATCTCTCAAGTCAAACATGCACCAACTACTGTGAAAAAATATCTTGATTGTAGCAATAATAAAACCAGACTTGTATGAAAATGATTTTGAGAATCAGGGACAGCTTTTCATGGGCACAGGATTTATCTTGATGCTGCTCAAAGTCAATGACTCATCTTAATGTGCATGAACCAGCTGAGGTTTTTTTTCCCCTTACATCTCAAACATTTTCCTGGGACAGATGAACAAAATGTATGTCATCATATCCAGGCCTCAATTACCTAACCATCAAATTTCCCTTTGAGGAGGCAGGAAATTACAAATGTCTTAACTCTCAAGAACTAAGACACAGAAAGACAGAAGTAGAAGAACACCTAAACACACACAGAGAATGGAAAGTGGTGCCCAGTTAAACCAGCATACGGAAATGAACCCTCACTTTATACCCAGCGGACCACTGCAGACCCACTTAAACACACATGCAGAATACTGAGAGCCATTGAAAACACGGGGGAACTAATGGGTTGCCAGTTTGAGTAATATGGACCCAATTTCATTTCCTATGTGTTTATGGCTGGTGACCACATACTGCATTCATGTGTGTGACTGAGAGAATGTTTACGCTTCATTGAATACTTACACATATGTGAATGTAAAGGGACGCAAGTGGTCTCAAGTTTGTGTCTTTGTGTGTGTGTGTGTGTGTGTGT